GTACGTTTTAAATTATGTGCGTGTATGTTTAACACAATGACGTTCATTTCAAGATTTTATATCTATTCCCAAATTTCGTCTGTGTTGAAAAAGACAGTATTGGAAATTTATAATTTTTTTTTTTTAATTAATTTACAAACGTCGGTACTGTCAGTCAGTGTCCTTACCTCAGGTAGAATTTTAACCATTTGCGCTATAAAGACGTGCCACGCACGTCGAGATGCTTTTGTTCCAAAGCCGCCAGCGACGTGTATACCACGTCAATAGGCATTTGTCGCAGAAACAAAAACGACGTGTCCGTCACGTCGGCTAACAGTTAGCTCGCAGACGCGGTGCGGCGTCAATGTAACGTCTTACCGCATGTTTGTAGAGCACGGCACGGCAACCGAAAGTTAAATCGTAGCGCAAGTGGTTAATTACTGTAAGGGGCGGAGGGGGAGACGGCTGGTTAAATAACTTTACTACTCGGTGCCGAATTCTACATAATCTCCGTCCGTTATAATACTCTTTCACTTCTAATACAAAACTGTTCTCGTTTCTAATATCATACTGTCCTTTTATTAGTGGTCGATCTTCGTTAGTCGCCCGCGAAAATTAACCGGATCGGCACTTTGAGAATCGAGTTCCCCGCCGCTATGTGCTCGTCATTCGCGCCGCCTTATCGGTAACCGGATCTCGCTATACTCTTACATTACACTTACTATAATTAGTAAATAAGTAGTATTCTAAAACATATATTTCATCTAAATAATTTCTGCATGGTCGAATACACTTTGCTGAATGATCAACTAACTATATTATTACAAATTGTACGTATTATATATAATGGGACGCGGTTTTAATGCATCACATTCTTCTATCAAATTCATAATCGAAAAGGTGTGAAATAATTGATTAGCATGTATATTAGTATAAATTTAAAGAATTCTTTCGTATTATATATTATTTAAATTTCGCTTCGTATTTTACCTACTTTCAGTGTTTGTTCTTTATTAAATATCTTAACCTAGTAAGGTAATAATTCTCTTTTCTATTTATATCTATTAATAATTAAAATTAAGATTAATATAAAATTTATCAAAATTGAAATTTGAAAATTAAAATTTAAAATAATTATTGTGGGTGCGGAATGAAGTCTTTATTGACTGCGTCGCTGGCGAGAGCTCGTGTTCGACTGGCGTTTCAAAACCCATGTCGAAAGCACGGCGTATCGTCAGCGACGATTTTGGCTGGAGACAATGTCTCCGTCGATACAATGTATGTTGGTGGCCCGGGCATCGCGTGCCGTCGGATCACCAAAGGGAGTCGTCGCGCAACATTGTATATGGGCGCGCTTGTGCGTGGGCCGCCACAATTATGAAGTTTAAAATTGTTGCACAGTGTCAGTTGACACACGAGGGCGTAATGAAAGCTGTAACTACAATATAGTTTCGCTAGAATCGTTTCACTTGAATTATATATTTAAACCTATCGTGCAAATATATAATTCTCCATTTCCAACAAATAATTAGTGAAGTTAATTCCTCGAGGAATACGATAAATTGAGAAAGTTTAGACCAACTGAGGTTAACCCTTTAAGGACCGAATTATTTTACAAAAACTGGCCGAAAATTTCAAAATTTTTTATTAGGAATTTAGTGAGAGGTGCTCAATAACGCACCAAATATCATGACCAAAAATTGCGAAAAGGTTAGAAAATGCGAATATACACGATTTTACGTATATTTGGCAGATAAGAAAAGACCGTATTAACGTAATTTTACGTAAAATCGAAATCACGTTAAACATGTGTATGGTAGTTGAGGGATTAAGTCTTCGCACGAAGGAAAGTTGTATGGTTTGTAAGTCTATATCCAAACCAAATGCAGGGCACGTAATTAGCATAAGTATCCAAAGATCACGGGCACTGGTCGGTCAGGGTCATTTTTCGAGCAACGACAGAGGAGAAATCGTGCAGAATCATTCGATACCAGTGCGTATTTAAGCACCTGCCGTATAGAGTTTCTTGACTTTTGTGGGTTGCGTTAAGGTAAGATGAACGCATCTCGACTCCTTTGAGGTAGTCGAGTGGAATAAGACAGTCGAGGAAAGGAGATCCAATATAGT